CACCGAGCCCTGGCATATACTGGCTCCATCCGCCCTTCTTGGGAGCGTTGACCGTGGTGTATTGACAGCAATATTATTAAAGAACATGGAAATCAGGGCCCATTTCAATAGAGAGACTAAAGGCAGAAATATCTTGAGTCAACTACAGTGTAACCGAGCCCCACAGTCAGTGCTGCCCGTGGCACCTCTGATTTCCTTGGCAACAGACGAAGACTTGGGGCTCCTGCCCCTGACTTGCTGCGTGGCCTCTGCAGCGAGGGGGTCTCCTTGGCAAGCCCTTGGCTCTCGCGGTGGCTCCCAGGCACCCCGCTTGCCCTCCGCCGTCTCTTCCCTAACTCCGCTTACTCCCCACACCTGCTCGCACGTAGGCATTCCCACAGCAAGCCTGCCCCGCGTCCGCACAGCTCCAAGCCGCCTTCCCTCACGTGGCCAAGGGTTCCTGCTACTATAGTAATTCTTATCATGTTGATCGAGCTCTCACCTGTGTGCCAGAGGCACTCGGCCCCGTGGTTTACATGCACGGGTCTCATTTCCTCTTCGAGGCAATCCATGGACAGGACAGTGTGCTCCGGCCACCGTGCCTGCTCCGTCTTAAAGCTAGAATGCAAATCCCAGGGACCTGGCTTCTCAGTGCAGGTTCTGAGCCGTTATTTCGTACATCCTCGCTCAGTAAAACCTCTGCTGTGTATAAAGTTCCTCCTATTTAGAGTCTGCCATCCTTTATTTTATTTCTCTCCATTCCTATTGTACCTCTCCACCTTTAAAAAAAACATGGACTCAGCCCCGGAGTCACACCGGATTTGGTCACTCTGTGCAACCCCAGTGGGGAGAGTCTGTCGTTTCTAAGAACCGAGCTGCATCCTTGATTTCCAGCTCCTCTGAGAGCCCAGACCAGCTTAGCGTGGCGGTTACGAGCGTGATCTGAGTCAGCAGGTGCCAGCGTTGGAGTTTCTGCTGTGCTCCCCGAACCTCGTGGGGCTGCTCTCTATCTCATTGTCCTCGTCTGGGGGATTTTAGTCATCCCAGAATCGCAGGTTGGTCGTGAGGATTCCGCGAGTTTCTTGGAGGACAAACTCCGAGACGTCTCAGTCCTACAGGAATGTCTCACAAGGACTAGCCGTGGCAAACTGGTTTCCCTAGAGGCCTCTCCCCTGCTGCTGTTCCCAAGTTTGTACCCTTCTGCCGGTGACAGTATTGTCCTCCCAAGGAGAGGTGAAAAGTTTTCCCCAGCCGGTGAGACTGCGTGATGCCACCCAGCCTGCCTCCCACCCCCAGCTACATCAGCAGGTGGGCAGCAAATGGCGAAGGGAGACCACAGGTGTTCAGTGGCCTGGTGTGGGTTCGGTTTGCCGTTTTCTATGTATCTGAAACACCTCATTAGCTACTGCCTCCTTGAAACATTAGAATTTTATGGACTTAGCAGTCCGTGTGGATGAAAGAGCTTCATGAAGCTCATTAATACCCCTTTTCACGTTGGGGCTTTGGAGGGTAAGATGAACCTTCGAGGAGTCTTCTTTCAAGAGTGCTACAAGTCAGGAAAACCCTGAGGGAAACAGCTGAAGACAAGCAGAAGCTGTCGTTTCTGGTGGCCAATCAGCTTGATCATGGCAAAAAAAGAATGTTCTTCATGCAAATAGGGCCCACTGAGGGTTCCCCGGGCCCTAAGACAAATGACCCTCAAACGTAATGATTTTCACATCTAATTCAAGGCAAAATTAATCATTCGGTATGAAGACAAAAGCAGGCAGGCCCCTATCTTAACACGAATCCTTCCCACCAAAGTGGGATTACCTCTGGAATAATTAAAATGCTTGCTGAAGTATGAAAGCATCCCATTAACTGGAGTCACCTTGATTGAGAAGGGCTCTCCCCATCATCCCGAAAAACGATGCTGGCTGTGATCAAAGACTCGGAGACGCCAGGGCCCAAGTAGATCATGAGATCCAACTCCAGGCCGCGTGGGTGTCCCTTCGGAGCCAGAGAACAGTCCACGGACGCTCAGGAGCACTGTTATTTGTGAGCGTGTGTGGCCGTGGTGCCTTCTCTACCTGACCCGCCGACGAAGGAAATGGAGCCGACCACAAAAGGCTGGCAGAGGATCGTTTTTCTGGAATGGCCCCAGCCTGCCTATTGATCGTTTCCAGCATTTAGATAACTTAATTCTAAAGGAGCACAGTGGTTGAGCCAAAGTGTCATCACCTGCCAAAACATGAACAGCCAGAACTTCCAAATTCGCTCATTACTAGGAGGTGCTGTGGTCACCAGATGTGATCCGTAATTCTCTCTCGACAGTGTGAAGTTTTGTGCCTTTGTCAGCCGGTCCCTCGTTACAGGTATAACACATCATCACCTTGTGCCACACACCGTGTAGCAAATCAGCCTTCACTCATCAGCAGTAATTTATGATGATGGAGTCTTAACATCCGAGGGACTTTTATGTACGAAGACAAATACTTACCTCATCACCCTCTGTTTCTAATTTATTCATCTTCTCTATTTTTTAAACAATCCACATTTTTAAACATGACACAACCAGTATTCCTCTAAATATTTGTACAGTACTTAAAAAAAATATGTACTTAACAAAGGAAAATGACCCAACATTTAAACATAGATTTTTTCAGTGTAAACACTTGCAGACGTTTATTTGCAATGACATTTCCAAATTTGTCCCATTTTCTCTTTATTCCTTTTTTCCCATTTTTGTTTTTTTTTTTTTTGTGGCATGCATTTATTTAATCTAAGAGTGGCCTTCCTAAGGTTTTAGTAATTTTACAGGAAACTACCAGAGAATCGCTGAGGCCGCCAGCTCTGGGCATCGTCTGCTCGTTTCTCGGATGGGATGTGGGATTGGTTTGCTCAGCCCGCCTTCCTGCCGAGCTTCCAGGCATCTGGCTCCATCAGAGCTGAGTTTCTTTTATTATGTCCAAGGACCTTAAGTTCCTATCTTTTATGTAGATTTTCATTTTTTGGAACTTGGCATCTTTCCCCAGATTGAGAAATGTTAAGTTGTGTGTGTTAAGTTTGTTCTGTCATCCTTATTTATTGAGCTTGTCTGTTAACGTTATTAAAACCTCATGTGTCCTCTATTATTATTTTTTTCTAATTAGATGGGCCATTTAGAGGTTTCATCTCCTAGGAGATGAGATCGAGCCCGTGTAATTAGCTCTCTTCTTGAGGATGGCTGGCTAATTCATCACCTCGGTATGCAACGTTGGACTCCCTGCTCACGTGTTTATTTCGTATGACCGTGGCACCGATTCGTTTTTCCCAGACTTGGTATAGTGCTCGCTTCGTCTGGGACTAAGTTTTACCTTTTCTTTTTTCCAAAGGTGGAAACAAGTTCACCGCATGTGAAATATTCTGCCTTATGATTACAGCAAAATAGAGGTCTCTCACTTGAGTCACTGGCACACCACTTTACAAATGTTTGTCTTCTGTGCTTACCACTGGTACCCTTATTTGAATAAGGCATCTCTATAAATAACTCTAAATCTACTTGTTTTAACCTTGCATGGTCTTAAGCTGTGATGGCCATGAAACCTCACGTTTGGTGTATCAGTTATAGTTCAGTGAAATTTTTGTAAGTACACATTAAAATGTTGAAATGATGGGGCTGTGCTGGTACCCCCAAAGCCCCCTTGCATGCTTCCAACATACGTCGTCACACCTCAGTTAAGGACACTGGTCATAGACCCACATGCCAAGGATTTTAATTACCAGAAATATCCAAATAATATGATGACTTTTAAAGGATTGTGGTGGGCGGGGCGGGGGGGGATCTCCCATTTTTAAAAGCAACCGTATCCTTAGAGGTTCATGCAACCACATGCTTTAGGAAAAATAGACGACAATAAAATGCGATCAGCACGCGTGAGCTCAGCAAGACCTGCGTTCTGGCTCTGGTGTCACGGAAAGTGGTGACAAACCACGTTTGCGCCAACCGTCACCTGAGCGCGGAGGCCTGAGGCTGCGTGGGCAGCTTCTAGAATGGACTGGGGGATGAGGAAAAGCGTATGTGGAGCAGAGATCGGGGGGCAGAGCATTCCAGGAGAGGGGAGGGCCCTGGCACAGGGGCCTAGGTGGAGGGGATGTGGGTGCGGGTGAGGAACAGCGCCAGCCAGCGGGGCTGGACTGGAGCGGGGACGGGCCGTGGGAGGGAGTGTGGTCGGATCACAGGCGGGGGCGGGGGGTGGCGAGCAGACCACGGGCCGTCGTGAATGTTGGCCACGTTGGACTTGGGAACGGGAGAGTGATTTGAGCTGATCTCATGGACTGCTGCGTAGGAAATGGTTACGTTGGATCCAGAGTGAAAACTCAGACGGTAGCCAGGGTGCTCTGGTGATCCCCCAAGTGAGAGCCCGTGGCCGCGCTGGCCAGCGGGGTGCCCGTGAAGGGGGCGGTGAGAAGGAAGGGGTGCTGGGTTTTATATATTAATAAATAGAGAGAGACTCGCACTAGAATTTCATTTCTTCCTTGAAACTGTTAAAATTAAATGTATTTTCTTAACGCACATACACAGTTGTAGCTATTCACAGGTATTTCTATAGATATACATATACACATACATACATACATACATGTATATACACAAACACATACTTAGATATAATCATAAAACATAGTCGTACATTTATAATTCATAACATATAATTAAGTTATAGTTTCCCTGTTGATGAACAAACCTCAAAACTCCTTTTTTTGGATAGAAATAAGTCGTGATTCTATACAAAATATTTCAATGTGTCTAGTCAACTGTAAGAAAAGGCATAGTTTACTCTTTCCTGTTTTAGTGGCTGTCAGTTTCATTGGCAAATGTTTTGCAGCGTTTTTATAATTACGGGTGACTTACAGGTTATAGGTTTTGGCCTGAGTGACTGGGTGACACCCGATGCTGTTTACTGATACAGGGGGACGTGTGACCAGAAGGGGCCTTAGGGGCAGAAGGCCCGGGAATGCAGCGTGTGTGAGCTTGGCCCTCTGCTTCTCTCTCCCTGCAGTGATCCCCAAGGTCACCAAGCACCTGCTGTCAAACCCGGTGTTCACCTGCATCATCCTGGCCGCCTGCATGGAGATCGCCGTGGTGGCCGGCTTCGCTGCCTTCTTGGGGAAGTACCTGGAGCAGCAGTTCAACCTCACCACCTCTTCTGCCAACCAGCTGCTCGGTGAGTCTGTGCCTCAGTCCCCCGTGGACGGTGGAGGGAGGCTGCCATGCTTGTAATTAATACCACAAGAATTTACTGAGCCTCCTCCCCACACTCAGGGCCCAGACTTACTGCTCCCCCAGCAGCATATGCATATGGTCCTTGTGCAGGAATAGTCTCCAGGTAAGGTCAGCCCACCTGAGGCAATTGCTAAAGGTGCATGATAATAAAGAACTAAACTATAAAACGCACACGGGAAGCCAGAGAGTCACTCGATTTTTGTGAACTGGAGAATTGGAGGGCAGAAATGGTGAAGGAAGAGGGAAATCAAGATGGATCCTCACTAAAAAAAAAAATAGCAAGATTATTCTTGCAGCATGAAACCATGGTCAGCAAGCGTAGAACTGGGAAGCTGGACGCGCCCCGTCCTTCCTCATCTCCACGGCGGACGTGACTAATGGATGGTGACACTCGTCCCCAAGCTCACGCGGGGTCTTACCACTCTTCTGCTCCCAGTTCTGTGGAGATGGCATGCTAAGAAGCAGTGTCCCATGCGTGAGGAAAGTGGTCTCACAGCAGGTGACGGAGAGCAAAGAGTCAAGAATGACTCCCCGGTTTCTGGCGGAAAACCTGGGAGCAGCAGAGAAGGCTCAGATCCGCGGGGAAGACGAGCCGAGATCTGAAGCTGCCGACGGCGAGACGCCCTCGGCGCATCCACGGCACGGTCCTGTGTGTGGTCAGAGGCCTCAAGGAGATGCGGGCCAGTCACGGAGGCTGTGGATGGTCGTCGAGGACTGGAGTGGATTTTACTTAGGGAGGATGCGTAGGGTTTGAAAAGCAGGGCTGAGAGAGAGGAGGCCATCGAGGAGTTGGCACAGCAGCGGCCAGGACGTCCTCCCGCCTGCAGAAAGCGGTTTGCAGAAGGAGCATGCGCGGATGGCTCTCAACAGAAGAGCTCGCCTCCTCCGAAAACTCAGAGAAAGAGAGCCATGCGAGGGTGGCCACTGGAATATGTCGGGTCCAGCCGGGCCTCCGAGAGGGCGCCAGCCCCGTGGAATTCTCCGTCATGGAGTCAGGTGCGTACTGCGAGCAATGGCCGAGGTGACGTCTTCTGACCTCCCCCTTTGCCGCTTCCTGCTACTTCTCAAAACAAGTGCAAAGGTGCCGACCCACGACGGGTCATCAGGAAAATGCACGTCGACACCACGAAGAGACGCAACGCATCCCCCGGACTGACGGCACCAGGTGTTGGTAAGGATGGGGAGCCGCTGGGACGCAAAGGAGCACCAGTATTTTGAAGAGTTTTAGGTGGTGCCTGTTCAAGCTACGCAGGCACCCCACGGGAGCGAGAGCTTGGGTCCACTCGTTGACAGACGCACCTGTGACAGTATTCAGAGAAGCTCCGTGTGAAAGAGCCCCAGACTGGAAACAACCTGCCTACCTGTCGACAGGAGACCAGGTGGATGACAGAGCGTTCGTGCAGCGGCCTGTCGCGCAGCGTGAGAAAGCAAGGACTTTGACACACGCCTCAAGGCCGTTGAATCTGAGACGAGTTGAAAGACGTCAGACACAAAATAATACGTATTTATGTGAGTCAAAAAGAGAGAAAGCGTACTCGAACTGATCGAGGCCGGAATGATGGTTATTTGTGGAGGGGCCTCCTGAGCTGTGGGATAGATATGTTTTAAGCTTGATCTGTTATGGTTTCAAGGGTGCACACAGATGCGACAATTCACAGGCTATTCCCTTAAGCTTTGGTGCTTCATAGGACATAATACATTCCATTTAAAACAAATTAAAACGCTACCGCAATCATGTGGCCAGATCATAGCCTTCCTCCCTGGGAACCGTTAGGGTAGCATAAGGCTTATTTGTTTTTCTGTTTTACTAATAACTTTTTACCATCCACTATTTTATAAGTTACTTCTAAGAGTTATTAGCAAAGCACAACCGGCCCTGTAATCTCTGTCTTGACAGAATAGGGTAAATGGGTCTCTTTATAATTAAAGTTATTGCTTCTACGTTATACCTAGCATCACCCAGGTTTTAGCCTTCGGCACCCGAAGAGTTTCTCTCTCACCTCCCGATTGTTTTGCTGCTGTTCCTTACATTTTGATTACACGTGCACAGTTGCTTCAGCGTCGGAGCTGTCTTCTGTTTAAGTATAGACACCTCTATTTTTTATTGACAAACAAATCAATAGTCTTAAGGGCAGAAAGTCCGAAAAACAGTCTCGCCTTCTCACACCTGTTTCTTTCTGAGTGATTTCTGTCTGGGAGAGCATTTTAGGTTCGGGGGAGGGGGTTTGGGGGGGGGGATGGGCACCGAGCCTGCCCCCTCTCCCTGTGTCCTGCCTGAGGCATCTCTAATCAGCATGGACGCTGGAGGGCTGGTTGGAAGAGAGGCTGGCAGTGGGTCTTTAGGGGACGAAGAGGCACTGGGAGCAAAAGGCAAGGCTTGAGTATCATCAGCACAGGGCCCTGGGCCACCCAGGAAGTCATCAGCAGTTGGGGCACAGTTCAGAAAAGAGCGACACAGATGATTAAGGGGCTGATGGCATTGATTTATGCGTGAAGATAAAAGGACTCAATCTGCATAGGTTAACGTGATGAGGCTGGAGTTTCAGCCTCACGCGCGCATCAGCACATCAGGGAGGGAGGGGGGTTGGCGGTGGCTTGGAGAAGAGGGTGCTGGAAGCCTGTGATTGCCATAGTTACCGTCATCACCAGGTGACACGCCCCCTGTCTCTCTTAGGAGATGAAACAAAACAGCAGCCTGCTCTCTGTCATGAGCAGGTCATCACCTGAGTTCACTCAGAGATCCAGTCTGCCCACCGTCTCCTTCCTCCCCGAGATCATGCTCGAGTGCCCGCTCTGTGCCGGGCACTGTGCTGGGCACAGGAAACTGTGCTGGGTTGGGCAGGATGGAAGGAGTTATTCTCCCCAGGGAAGCTGCAGCTTAGGAGGGAGAGAAGGGATAAGAAATAAGAAAACCAAAAATACACAGGACCGCTTCCGATGGTGGGGGGGCCACGAAAATCCTAAATCAGTGCAGCAAACGATAGGGAGTCCCAGAGCGGGTGCAGGGACCACTGCGGATGAGGCCGTCTGGGAAGGCCACTCTGGAGAGAGTAGGGTGCAGCCTACTAAAGCATAGGGGCGAGAATGTTCTAGAAGAAGGAACAGTAAATGCCACGCCTTTGTGCCTGAGCGGGTTTGGCCTGTTCCAGGGAGAGAAAGGAGGAGAAATGGGCCTGGGTAGGGAGCCGTGTGACACGCAGTCAGCGTAGAGAGGCACAGTGGGGCTGGGTCACCAGAGGCGGAGGGACCAAGCAGAGCTACTCCAGGAGCATCCCCACGACCAAGAGATGTGTGTGTGCGTGTGCGCGTGTGCATGTGCGTGTGTGTGTGTGTGTGTGTGCGTGTGTGTGTGTTAAAGTGCTGTTTTCTTGCATGGCTCAGCTTCCCTGGTCATATTTTTCTTACCTTAATTTTAAAATTATTTTGCCTTTCCTTGTACATACCGTAGGCTGGTCCATTTAGTCGACTGACCTAGAGGTCTGTTGATTGGCAAGGAGGAGGCAGCCGAAGCTGGGAAATTGGCTGTGCATGCTCAGCCCGCTGGATAAATGGCACTGTAATTTAAAGCCGAGTTCCAGACGACGTTGAGTCGGAACAGAGCAAAACCAAACCGGACACTGGAAGCCTGGGAGGGAACCCTTCGCCCCTCTGAAAGTCTCATGAGTCTCCGAGAATCAGAAATAAAAAGTTTATGGTCCCGCTGCCTTACGGAGAGCTCTGTTTATAAGAGAGGGGAAAAAATTTTATGCCAATTACTCAGGGAGAGCCACAGAATGTCGTATTGATTCGATTGATGCTGCTCCCTGCGAGATCCCGGAGCTGGTTACAACGCTGTCTCCTCGGGCTGGTGCGACGTCGGTGAAACAGCCTCCGGGCCCTTCCTCAAAGCCCCCCTTGCCTGATTAGAAGAAAGCCCCCAAATGATCGACTCCCCTTCCCACATCACCTCAAACAATGCACAGAGAGCACGTCACACTGCTCCTTGATAGTCACTTTCCCCAAATGCGCATGCTGGTTCCCACTCTGCCTTGTCTCCTGGCTGTCCTCACACGCGCTGCAAGTGCTTCCTATGGGGGGGTGGGGGGACCACACTTAGCGTGACAGGCGAATGCACTTAGACTCCTAGCAACTGAGTTCTTACACGTCCGTCTCCCCCGGTTTCCTGCGAGCTCGTTGAGGGCAGAACCGAGGCCCTGGCGGAGGCTCTGGAGCATGGGGAGGAAGTGGCCCCTGGCAGTGTCAGGGGTGGGGGAAGATTCTGTCCTCGTGGAGTGGCCCTGCCTCGCCTGTTGACGGCTACCCGCCTCTGCTTTTCTCCAGGGATGACTGCAATTCCCTGCGCCTGCCTGGGCATCTTCCTGGGCGGCCTCCTGGTGAAGAAGCTCAGCCTGTCTGCCCTGGGGGCCATCCGGATGGCCATGCTCGTCAACCTGGTGTCCACAGCTTGCTACGTCTCCTTTCTCTTCCTGGGCTGTGACACGGGCCCCGTGGCTGGGGTGACTGTTCCCTACGGAAACATGTGAGTGCCTGAAATGTCTGTTCCCCCCTCAACCCCCTTTGCCGGCCCGGGACACTCTCCCCCCTGGGAAGGTTTCTGGAACAAGCTTCATCCTGAATCACCATGAGCCAAGGAGTGGATGATGCCGCCGCCTCTTGTGCCCAGGATCCAGGAGTCGGTGTGACCCTTCTGGGCTGCCAGGGCAGACCGCTCCCTACACAGTGGTCTCCGGGGGTGGCCAGGAGAGACCTGGGGGAGACGCTCAGACATCGCTCACTCCCCAGGGGCCTCAAATGACCCCTCTTGGCATTGGATTGTAGGAAGAGAGGAAAACAAATTTCATTGTAGAATTCGGCTGCAGATGAAAGACAGAATAGTTCATTAGATTATCAGAAGCTATCATTAGACTCATGCGGTAATTGCAGGGTCTGGCCCAGGGTAGGAGGAAAAATAGAAAGGAGACAGGAGAGGAGGAAGGAAGGGGGTCAGTTCTTACGGGACCACTTTCCTTATTTCCTAGTTACGATCTCAAGACTTTGGACTGCAGTCCAATCAGAATTGCCTTTAGAGGCACACTGGAGAGTCCTTTTATATCGTGTTGACAGCTGTCCCCTTTTCTACGTGAGACTCTGGGGCTGTCTTGAGAGTCCATCCTAGAACATCAAGACTGTAGCATGGCTGGCTTGCAGGATACCAGTTCCTCGCCACACGAGTCCCCTCCTCCAGGCAGGCCACTGGGCCTGCTCCTGCAGTTAAGCCAGAAGATACAGTAGAGCCAGGATTACCTGCCACCCACCAACGGTGAGCAGGCAGAAGGGGAGAATGCAGGCAGAGGCAGCTGTCTGTATCCGTGCACAATTCATGCACACATGTGCACAAGGCACCATACACCCCTCCGTCCCCTTCGCCGCCACCCCAGTGGTGTCCTCCATCCCATCCCAGTCTTCCAGCCCAAATAGGGTGCTTCCCAAATAACGGTGTTGGGAAATCAACACCGCCCGCCTCTACAGTGCCCACTCTCAAGTAGCAAACTTTCAGCGGTTCAAAGCGCAGGGCCCAGTCGAGCTGCCAGCTCTGCGGAAATGGACGGAGTTCCAGCCCCTCCCCGCCATTTGTGAGCTGTGTATGTTTGGGCAGGCGACTGAACCTGGCTGTGCCCCCGTTTCCCGCTCTAAAAACCCCATGGGATTATACTGAGAATAAATGAGATAATCTATGCAGCCCCTTGAAGAGCGCCTGACGCACAAATTGTCAGGTGTCACCGTGATCGTCTGCATTATTATGCAGTACTCTGAGCCCTAGGAGACTTACCTGCAAATAACAAGGCTGAAGAAGAGACGAAACACCCCCGCTCCCCTTTCCTCTTAGCAATTTGCTCGTTCTAGATGACCGTGCCTTTAATAGTGCAAAAAAAATATTTTTTTTTTTAATATCTTCGTGTTATTTTTCTCAGGAAATTGAATCAGTCAGACAGACAGTAATTACTGAAGCCGGTCTATTTGCAGTCGTTTGTTTAGCGTCACAAGGCTTACTGTCTGCTGGAGAGGAATAAAACAGAGACCGGCCCAAACAGGGGAGAAACGTTGAGCTGCGCAGGGTGGGGTTAGTCCAGTGGAGGCTGCAGCAATCAGGGGAGGCATCCTGGAGGAGGTGGCCCTGAGCTGAGCCCTGGCTGTTGGCACCACATGGATGCTAATGATACAGAGGCTTCTCCTCCTGGCAGATGAAGCTCCCACCCAGCCAGCCGCCCAGCCTGGCCCCGTGGTGCAGGGAACACTACCCATAGAGCTCTTAGCAGTGGCACTGGGCTGGACCTTGCGGGACAGAGAGAGTTAAGATTGGAGGAAAAGGAAGAAGTTGGGGGGCCAGGTGACCTATCCCAGCAGAGGCCAGAGGGCTGTGGCGGGGAAGGGGGGTGGGCGTGGTCCTCTCCGAAGCTGGCTTTTTCCTGACGGGTTCTGTTTCCTTTCTTTTCCAGCTCAGCGTCCGGCTCGGCTCTGGACCCCTACTCACCTTGCAATAAAAACTGTGAATGCCAAACCGATTCCTTCACCCCAGTGTGTGGAGCAGATGGCATCACCTACCTGTCTGCCTGCTTTGCCGGCTGCAACAGCACGGTACAGAGGTTTCCCGAGGGGGCGGGAGTGGGCGGCCACACGCGTCGCATCCTTAGCGGTCCTGCCCTGTGACTTTTTCTCAGCCTCGGATGTAGTGGAAGATGCTCTGTCAGCGGGACGATCGGGCTGCCGGGCCATTCAGGCCTTCTTGCTGAATCAGCCCAGTTTCTAAAACGCGTCATTGAGCAACTGAAAGTAAAAATTCAAAGGCAGCTGGATGTGTAGAGCTAGAGGAAAAGATGGTGGTGCGAGGTGCTCTCCGCGTCTGTAGAACAGGATGATTCCACAGGTGGTGAGGTCCCCATCAGCAGAAGTATGTAAGCAAAGGCTGGAAAGCCACTTATCAGGGAAGACCTCCTCCGAACCTGAGATTATCTGACACTGACTCAACCTCTTCCCTACTCAGTTCCCTTTGTGTTTTTCTTCTCGGGTAGATGGCTCCCACCCTTTACCATCCTCCTATTATACGTATATATTTTGGGGTGGGGGGGGCAGAGTTGTACAAATAGCTGTCCGTGTTCTCTGCATGAAATCCTGATGCTAAGTGGCCGGTCACCAACTCTCGCCGATCCCACCTGCCAGGTGTTTCTCGCACCTGCGCTTCTTCGGCATCAGTGCCACCCCCGCCTGCTACAGGCCCGCCTCATCTTTTGCTTGGACCAGTGTTCTAGTTGCCTAATTGGTCTCCTGGCTCGGGATGGCCCCCTTCTGGTCAGTCTTCTGCACTGCAACCAGAATGATTTCTGGAGCCCTGGAGGGACTCTTTTCTGATCCTAATTCATCCGCTGGAAGATAAGGTCTAGGCACCGAACCGAGTTTGCTTGCGTCTTCGGCACGTGTGTGTCCTTGGCGGTCCTCTTCAGTAGTGCATTCTCTGAGCTGTGGTGTTCAGCTTTCCCCAGACAGCACGTGTCTGTTTATGCTTCTCCCTCCAGCTGGATAACTCCTACAGACCTGTCATGACCTTACTCAACCTGCCCCTCCCCTGTGAAACCACCCATCGCCCCCCCTTGACCTTTGCGATTCTTGGCTCTGCAGTCACGGTACCCGTCTGTCCTGGAGGCACGCGTCTCAATCCACTGCAGTGATTGCTAAAGGTCTTTGTCTTCTGCTCCGATCTGTGACTTTCCTGATGAGCCAGGAGTGGCATCCAGAAGTGCTCCATAAATATCCAGGAATGCACAGATGGAAAGCAAGATTTAAAAAAAAAAGAAAGGAAAAAGGGCTGAATGGCAGCTTTCAAAGAACTAAAGGTTGAACTCATTTTATTTCTGCTCCTTCCCATAGCCTTTGGGGAGTATTTTTTTTTTTTGGAGCAGCAATTTTTCTGAAAGAAGAAACATTGATGATTTATTTTCATTTCCAAAGATTTATTTTTCCTTTCTTTGAACATTGAGATTCCTGGGCAGCTATTAACATTTTTCTATCGAGAAAATAAATCACCGTTGGGGGTCGGGGGCAGATTTTGTAAAATGAGATGATGAAGCAATTTCTCGATGTGAGTGGAACTGCATTTTGTAAAAGAGACAGGGCCCGGAGAATGGTGAAAATGAAAATATAAGCTATTCTTTTACATGACAAGTTCATTACTATTTTAATATTCAAAAATTTGTATTATCAATCAGTTTTGGTGGTTGTCCTGTTGTAAGAATTAAATTGACCGAGTAGTGGCTAGTATCCTGAGACCAAAGGTATCGCTTTTTGGGTCAGAGCCTTCTCTGACCCAGACTTGTCTTAGAAATCGCATCTCCCCTGATCTCGCACGGACGAGAATCCCCATGACTAAGAGCATAACCAGGTCCATGCTTGCTTCCAGCGGCCAAAGCAACAGGCTGTGGAGTGCAGTTATCGGATGGTGAGCTTCTCCACTTCCCTCCAGACACAGCGTCCCTTCCCCAGACACCTGCCTACCCCTCACGTGACCGGAAGCCTCATGTTACCTGCCAGGTGGCAGGCCAAGTGGAGAGGTTATCCCCCTGAGGAGGCCCCGGGCCCCAGGCCCGGGGGCAGTCACATCCCTCCCCAGCAGAGGCAGACCCTCTAAACGCCCTGGCTTCTGACGGGTAGATGAGGGACTTGGGACACAGAGCTACCCATGTCCTGGAAAGGAGTCCTTGTGACAGTTCAGCCTTCAAAACAGCCACCACCATGACACTTGGAACGGCGGCAAGCTTCGCAAGAGCCCGTGCAGGCCAGCGAACAGGGCCTTCCCCACGTCACTCATGGCGCAAGGCAGCTTGGCCCAGGGTCAGAGAAATCTCAGGCCGCCATCCGAAAATGAGCCCAAAGCAATTGCAATCTCAAATCTGCGCTGTGGCGTTTTGAGAATGTGCAGAGTGGTGGCTTGTGTTCCTGGGATAGGCTTTCCCCGAGGCCTTCGCACGCATGGCACCTCCTTATCCTGTGGCTGAGAAGCCACCTCGTCATTTCCTCCAGGACTGTGTCAGCATCCCTCCTGCAGAGTCCCCACCAC